AATTTAATTAAATGAAAATTGAACAAAGACTTCCGAACATCAGTGGAGAGTGGCCCATATATTTACTTAACCTAAATCCATAACCAGATCCTCTGCAAATGCATCCTTTTTTGTCGCGATAAAACAGTATTTTTGTGTCATGAAATCGTTAACAGATCACTCTGAAAATCTCTCTACATGTCTATATATGTATAACATTTTATCCACTTAACATTTTCATGTGTTGATTGATTGTTATTTGTGTTTAATGAGAAGAGCTTCTCTCGCGGAGAAAGAAGTAGTGACAGGTGGCGTGTTGCTTACGCCCGTTAACAAAGAGGCCGGACTACTTTGCGTAGTGATCTTCACAAACCTGAATTACAAGAAAAATTGCGATGCCATGGGCAGCGGTCATTATTGGTTTGAGAGGTACGTTATCAAGAAATAATGACCGGTAGAAAGTTTTGAAATCACATTCAAGTCACCGGAGCATTCTACTGCTGCTGTGAGAAGCTGTATGAAAAATAAAAAATAAAACAAATAATAATATGTAGACTGGCATTTGTAATACATCCTATGTCTGGAAGCCATTTTACACCCACATTTCAGAACTGCAGTTTTGTTTTATGCAGACATTTTTGCCACTCTACCATGACTGTGGGGTGGCAAAGGACAACTCCTGCTTTCTATCTTCTGAACTTTTAGTAACAGACAACTGTGAAGTGGAAGAAAAATTATACATGATTCTGTTTTGTTTTTTTTAAATAGAAAAACCAAAAACTTGGGCAACTTGGGTGAAATCTACTCTAAGTATAAATACAGCTGTCCTGTCAGGGCCGTAAAGCTCTGATAGCAGTGGTTGTAAATCTGACAGAATGAGCAAAAGTGTATTAGTACTGTACTTTCGAAAGGCACTGTTTTGCATCCATATCTCAGTCATTTACCAACCACTGAATTCACATACCAACTCTATGTCTTGGGCAAAAACAAAAAACCAACAGCAGGCGAGAAGACGGTAACTTTGCATGGTCTTTCCCAGCCTTCACTCTCTTGTATACAGTCCCTGTCGATGCACAACATGAGTTTTTGAGTGGGCGTTTCACAGATCGTCTAGAACGCCAGAAGGAACACTTCCCCTGATGCAACACGGCGCAGAGTTTAACCACTATCGGCCGCGTCATGCACACAGTCACACGCGCATCAGTGGGATGCCGCGTTATGTTTCTTCCCCCCAACCCCCCTTGCACTGCGGCCTCTGCTGCCTCCCCCAGATGAATGGGGAGTCGAGATGAAACGCTTTGAGGAATGCTGGCAGACAGGCAGTGCTTTACCGTAATCTAACCTGGAGAAGATGAAAGCCGGGTGGGACCTTGGGAATAGATGGAGAAGGGAAGGAAAGGTGAGAGCCAGAAGAAGCAACGGGGGAGAAAAAGGTGCAGAGAGGCCAGAGAGGTAGAGAAAGGTGAACCAGTGAAGGGAAAATGAACAGGTCTCATACAGGTATGCAGGGGTAATGTGAGAAGAGGGCAGAGCATGCTGGGAAATACACTCAACAACAGTAGGGAGTACTTGATATCCAGAAGCAAATACATTGTTAGTATTGTTTCCTATTCTAAAGCTTTGATTTCTTATCAGAAGTCACCTTTGACTGTTGAAAACTAATTGCCAAATGGTCGTAACAATGGTTTCAAAAGGATTCTGAAATCATTTTCAATTTTGAAAAGAATAGATAATGCAGTAATGAATATTTTTAGCATGCATTTTCTAATATTGCTTACAGTAAAAGCTCCAATACCACAATGGTATTGTATCAAAAGTATCAGTACGTTTTATGTTTGGAGGTTTCCATTGGTTTGGACACCGTATGTTATGTTGGACTGGTATTTTATTTCAATATGATATTGAACAAAATGATTATAGTTTCAATGTATTTTTTGGGTTTGGTTTGGTTTGGACATTATAGGTATTCATGTTTTAAGTTAATTTAAATGCAGCAAATGCTTTATTCAGTTATATAAATATGTGGCTACTTTTTATTTGTATCAATGTTACACAACAATTATAACTGGTAAAATCCATACAACATTAAAAGTTGTGTTAAATGAAGGCTCCAGACAATTGTCTGTAGCCTTTTCTGCCAATGGACAAGTCACCTGCACCTGAGCCACTATTTCACATAACATAGAACATAGTACTCTTGTATAATTTTAAATGTCAAAAGTCTTTAATTGTACTTTTGCAAAGTTGGGTGCGTTATCCTCTGTTTTTTTCTTAGCTTTTGTGTACACCTTGCTATCATTTGAGCTCTTCACATTTTGCAAATGTTTACACGGCAGAACTCTTTTGACAAATGCAAACTCCAATCAAAACAATAAGATTAAAACTCAAGTGGACTGTGAAATAGCCCCGCTCCATTTTGCATCGTAATAACCACTCCGCAGTGTCATTGGTTCGAGTTGACATCCACCGCAATTACACTTGTCCAAAAGCTGACAGCGGCATCACCCTCCTGTACAGTTTAAACGTGGTCTCCTTCTCGGTGGAACAAACTCAATTTTAACGCCGCTGACTGCACATTGAAGTAGCGTCAGAAGTAGAGGTGTTGTCACTTGAAATGGTTTGTGTGTGCCTGAGTGATAATGCAGGTGAAGGCCTGTCGCCGCGGTGACTAATCCTTCCTTCCCTACCGTTAGTTTCTCTGAAGGAGGGGGACCGTGCTGAGATGCTGCTCCTAATTGAAATTTTAAAGTATAAGAGGATTTTTTCTGCACAACACAAGCTGACAGGTCCCATTCAGCAAATATCCGCTTTAAACTTCACACTGAAGAGGAAGAAAAAAAGTGTGCTGTTTATTTTCAACATCCGCGATGGGAGTATCCATTGAAGAATGGACAAACTGAGGACAAATGTAACATGCTGTGTTGTCACTGAATGGCATTTAAAGCTTTACTTGTTTTATACATTTTACATATAATTTGTCACCACTGAAGGAATCATGTAAAAGTAAAGTATTTTGAACAAATCCAACCTTAACATTCTCTCTTTCTCCTTCGGAAATCGTTTTATCTTTTGCATACTTATAAGATTAAGTTGGTATCGACTATTTGGGCGGCGAAGAGGTTTCTTCTGGGCTCGCATGTTTCCTATTCTCCTAAAAACATGTATGAAAAGCAGTGATCTTCCACTCTGATCCTGCCCGCTGCTATGCTACTAAGGCAACCACTGCTCCTGACAAAGGTCCTAGTGGCATTGAAGAATGGGTGAAATGCAGAGGCCTCTGTTTTTCTCTTTTCTATCTTAGACAGAAGATTATAAGATGTGATAGAGGCCAAGTATCACATGTACTGTTTGTGAAAACTATTGATAGAACCAAACTGTTCTGAGAGCAAGGAACTTGTTAAGATGGATTTAATTACATAGTTTTCTGGCTTTAGTCAAACACTAAGTTTCAATTCACTATAACTTAGTTTTGGTTCCAGCCTCGCCATGAGTCAACATCTACTTGCTTTTCTTGGATTCTTTGGAATGGTTTGTAAAAATATTTTTCTATCATGCTCATAATTTAATAACTGAATAATGTGAACACTTTAATCTAAAATAATCTAAAATATACGCTGGTCATTTTTTTAGACCTGACATGGGAAACAAATCTTTGATGAAGAGCAGTCAATAATGTTCAGCATAAATTGCCCTTGTGCAGCTTCGTCACAGGTTCATTTGCAAGACATGGATGTATATGATCAATGCCCTTTTCTTTGAATTGTTCTATTGATTCTTCACACTGCTTTTAAGCTAATTTAATGCCGACCTGTTTACACACTGTAACATGTTTGGTAATTACCTTCACGCCTCCATGTTCAACCCTACATCCCATTCAAACAACAACATCTATGATTTTCCGCTCATTCCTCCCGATTATTGCATCAGTTCTTCTGTCTTAGTGATTAGATAACCAGCCATCCTGAAACAATACTCATCTATTTATGTGGCCAAGTTATTTGACTCCCGCTGTGAAGCCCCTGTTATTATTACCCACAAAGCAGTAATGCAGCAGCACAAAGCTCTAATATATTCTCTTGATAAAGAAAGGGATAATATTAGAAGATTCTCCCGTAGAGGCAAAGAAAGGGCAGAGAAGAGTGAGGAGGTTGCTCAGAATGTGGAACTGATACAAATGCTGTGAGAGGCATCAGTTTTTGTGGCATAAAAAGAAGCAGGTGGGTTGGAATATTACTGACAGTGTCTTGTTCATGGCATCTGCATGTTTGGAATTTTTTATGTTCAATGATTATGTAACGATATTGATCTCATGATACAGTTTTTATCGCGTGATTATGGAGAGGCTCATGGTACAATGGCTCGTGATGTTGTGTTTATGTGAGGATGAGGATGATGACAACAACAAATAATACTTTTGTTTGTCACCAGGCCATTTATAGTTATAGACATACATCTCTGATTACAAGTGCTTTCAAAGTGTCACAGATACCACTACGACTTATTATTATGTGCAATGTTAAAGTAGCAACTTGAAAAACTACAAACATTGAGGAATTACTTAATCACACTCTTTTCAGCAATGTACTTAGTGCCTTTATCTTGCATTGTTGTGTGGCATGATTGCTCAACATTCCTTCTGTCTTTGTGAGAGATCAGAGTCGTCAGTAGTTTACAATGTTTTGTTCTGTGAGAGCTGCTTATTCTTGCTGTTAAAAAAAACGCCTTGCTTTATTAATTCCTCCCGTTACCACAACAAATGCGACAACAATTTTGCTGAAGAACAACATTTCAACCTCCAATTCTAATGAATGTGTATGCTTCAACTATTTTTGTTGTTGCTGGTATTAAATCCGATGATCAACAGCTGTTCTAAATCACACATAGAAATCCTGCCAAGACGCAAAGCATTATGGGTAACCTTTAAGTCCTGAATGTGTACTGTATCTGCTTTAAGACATTGGTCAAATCATCTTTAAGACTGCATTTTCTTAAATTATAATACAGATTTATCATTGTGAAAATCATGGAGGAAAAATGCAGAAGAGCTGATTGCAGATCTCCTGCATATCTGAACAATAGACATAACAATAGGTAGAAAAGAGAGGGTGGAATAATTAGGGTATCTCAGGCAAAGAATCTGAATCTCCATGGTGGATTTACACGGTGCAATATCCAATGAGTTTGGTGCAGTGTTTTGACTACTTTGACAGTTAGTGTCCAACTAGAAGGACTGTGGTTATGATCCAGGACACTTTAACATTCTACAACATGTATGGACTTTTATCAACATTCATGGACATTGGTCTGTCCCTATGGACCAATTCATATGTGTGTATTTTGTGTTTTAACTGTTGATTCTCTGATCTGTGTTGGTGATTTTAATGGTTTTGTTAAGTCCTCTAAGATGACTTCTGTTATGATTTAGGGCTAAACAAGAATAAGTTGTTGTTGTTGTTGTTGTACTCACGTTTGAGAAGTCTTTGAGTCATTTCAGTTTGTTTTATCAGTTTGAACACCAATATCGGTCTTTAGACTCGCACTCTTCCTCTTTTCCCTGCTCTTTTTAAGCTCCCTCAATTCATTTTGAACCACTCTTTGTGTCCTTCTCTCAGACCTGCATATTTCTCATAGTAGAATAACAGTAGGCTAAAAGTGATAGTGTGTTTAATAAAGGAATAATAGCAAAAAGAGGAAAGGACACCCTAGAGTCCAGTGCCTGGAGAAGGCACATGCACTCTCTGTAGTTATATGTGCACAATAACAAATGCTCAACCTCACACAAAGGAACACTCCAGTTCACACATGCTTATCTCCCAGGGATTGGCTCTGAGGCTCGTCCTTATTTAATTAGAAACTTGGAGAGGCAGCTCATAAATCACTGAATTGCCAATGAACAGGACTTCTGCGCGCAAATCTGCACTAGTCCGAAGATGGCCATTGGTAATTCATGAATTCATGAGAATGTGAGGTGTGCGGCTTCAGTCAGTGATCCATAGAGTTAATATGTTTTTGTGAGCAGCGTAGGTCCTTTCCTGTTCTAGGCGATAGCACCGAATGAGTAGCACATAATGATTACTTAGAGAGAATAACACCAAACCTGTGCATTCCAACCGCCTCACCTTTTAAAGAAGCCTTACGGTTGTTACAAAGTGCAGCGAGAGAGTTAAAGGTCACCGTGGAGGATGTGTGTGGATGAGTGTGTAGTGTGGTCTTGAGTCGGCAGCACTGGTCTCCAGAGCTCCTCTGATGGCAGTTTGTGGTAACAGGATCCAGGGGGATGTGCTCTCAGACAGAGGCAAGCTCACTGCTCGCCATCTATTATTCACTCACCTGTTCATACACACACAGGCCTAATACTATAAGGTACTGCAATGTGCTTTCTTACAGGTTCAAGCTGTGATTTTTTTTTCCTTTAGCATTGTTTTTTTCTCTTGATATAGTATGTACTTGGAATGAACATGTGTGTAGCTGTCCTTTCCTCTGTATAATTTGTTCTGAAATTATGACTTGAACACTTTCTATTGCCTTATTTAAAGGTTTATAATTGACTGTTTCTTATGCAGCCTCAGTACCCAGTGTGTAGCCCTGAGTGGTTCTGAAGCTGATTCCTGCTGCTTGCTCTAAATGATGCTATCCATAGCCTGGCTATATGCTGCTGTGCTGCCTGAAAGGGCCAGTCTTGATTCGGCACAATGGGCAGATTTTGTTCCCTCACAGCTCGAAATGTGTGTTGACTTCATTAGATGCTCCCAGAGCCTTTAATTTTCACACCGAGGCCTCTGGTCACTGAATATAATGGGCAACCCTGTGCTCTGTAGCACGGCCACCAGGCTGCAGCAGTAGCACTGACACAGGTGCTGAGGTGCTCTCAAAAGATGCCGTTGTCTCCACAGGGTCCTTGAAGCCTGGCCTGTTGCAGGTTTGGCTGAGGTGGGAACAGTGGCTCTTATCTCCACAGTGGGAAGAGTTCAAATAGGAAAAAACAGTAGGAGAATAATTGGTTTGAGGAAGAAAAGTATATGTTTTTTGTGAGTCAGGCTAGATATTTGTCTGTCCTAATTGAGGTGTGCTAGAGGATCTCTAAAGTCTTGGTGTGGCGATAATTAGCCTCTCACTGAGGAGCTGCACAAATAACAAAGACCGACTTCCTCTGAGTGGCTCTCGGGGTAGGAAAGGTGAGAGCTACCACAGAAGTACATCGCGGTAACAATAACTGTTGTGCAACATGTTTTGTGTGTATAATATATATATATATATATATAATATATATATATATATATATATAATATAAAATTGTCCACTCACCTTTGGCCCTCCGCGGGCGGTTATCCCTCTCTAAGCTCGGGTCCTCTACCAGAGGCCAGGGAGCTTGAGGGTTCTGCGCAGTATCTTCCACCACGGGCACTACTGTCACCTTTACCCTCCAGGCCCTCTCCAGCTCCTCTCTGAGACCTTGGTATTTCTCAAGCTTTTCATGTTCTTTTTTCCGGATGTATATATATATATATATATATGTATATATATATTAGTTAGAGCTGTCAAACGATTACATTTTATTGGTTGATTAATCGCATAGTAATGGTGCGTTAACTCACATTTTTGACATTCTATTTCAAATCCACTCCAATTGAAGTTAAATGAGATTATCAAATGTAATGACACATTGTCATTCATACCAAATGTACTTAAAACTGTTTAAAGAAATACGATGCCATCGCCGGCGATAGATGCGCACATGTTTTACAAGTGATCAATTTACTCGCAAACGGTTAAAGGTAGCGACTTACTTTTTTTCCCTCTGTGAAGTAAACATTCCATTCTTTCTGAAACTAGTTTTGATTTGTCTATGGGACGTACGGAGGATAAGCTACGGGTGTATGAAAGTCAGTCTGACAGTCAGTGTCCAATCGGATCTTTGAGCGGTGACCCGTGAGCCTCACACAGCCAATTGTAAAGTTTTTTACTCACACGGGGACTCACACGAAGATCGTCAGAGAGTAGGATCTCTCACTCCTGTGTGTACTTGTTGCAGAAAAGGCAGCAGCGCTCAGAGGAGCCAGAGGAGTGCGCATTATTGATATAGACAATAATAAATAAAGTAAAATGATATTATGTGTATATAATGTATTTATATATATAAATTAGTTTCTTTTTCTAATTTCTTTTGTTTTACGTATTTTACAGCTGTGATACTGAAGCAACCAATCTCATAGACAAACTGCTTCAGGAGGGGAATCAGGAGTGCAGCGTTTTTGGCTTTTATAGTGGAATTTTGTAAAACGTATGATAACTTTTCCCCCATTATCCCCATGACCCTAAATAACATTTCTATGCAGTCTAAAAATTATTTTTTTGTGAAATTGATTTTCTGTTTTTTCTTTTTCTTCATGATTCCACAATTTTTATATAATTGATATGACAGCTCTACAATATGAATATTCTAAAACCCCAGGTTATACTAAAAAAAACAAATTATACAGTACTGCTTGACTCTGCATTCAAAGATGACTGTTTTATGAGAAATTAAACACAGAGAAAACCAGGTGAGGAAAGTTCCCCAAAATGACATATGAAAAGGTTGAACTTAACCCCTTGGAGGGTTAAGTACAAAATTAGATTTTTTCAAAAGCCGATTAATTGCCAATATTCGATTTATAGCCCAGCCCTAAGTACAATCTTTTACTTTTGGGCACAACCAACATGAGCTGTTAATGAAAGTGAAAATGTACGTACCCCAGCTTTAATTGGGCGAGTTTAGTTGCAGGGAGGAAACACGGACACTTCCTGAGGCTCCATAGCTCAGCTTCAGCAGTGTATTTGCGTGCACAGGTTACGCACAGGTTATGCAAAGACACACACACAACATGCAGAGAATACTGTAGTTCTGTGCGTGTATGGTCTTGGATATGACCACGTTACCACGGCGGCAAATGGCGCCGTGGTAACGTGGTGTTGATGTTAGCGGTCAAAACCGTGGGAGGTGGGAATCTCTGTCCAGAGCGACCGCAGCTGCCCAGGATCAGAACGCTGCGGCCACGGAGGATGAGGACTTCAATTCATACAGTAAACAACAGCAAGTGCCCCGCGGTAATGCGCGTATTCTTTTAAAACTTGAACTCCCAGAGACCTCGTCTGTCGCCATCTCACACATGCATGTGTCTGCAGCATTCTGAGTGATATTATGGGATACATGGACGGGTCGGACATGCGTTAAACGCGTTATTATCAACGCATTCATAAAAAATGTAATTAACGTGAGTTAACTCGATAATATATATATATATATATATACACATAACTTTAAGAGACAAGTGTAAGTGTGAATACATTTAAAAACCTGACCATGTTTAATACTAATACTTAAATACATATTTAAAAAGCTAAACACTAAACAAAGCAAAATTTACATGGATCTATCTGAAAATTGGCCTGATTCTTTGCTGAGTGTATTCGCATAAACTAAACATTTTCTTAAAAGTACATCCGGTCCGGGGCAGGCAGGAAGCCAGCACCACCCGTCTAGGCACAGCGCTTTGGGGCAGCGTGCAGTGGAGGCAATGATAGCAGGGAGACCTGTCACTCACCCATTGAGGCCGCAAGGGAGCGTGGAGGGAGGGGATGTGAACCGGGAAGCCTCTAGACACTTGTCCCTTTTCACGTCCTACACCAGCAGCCCTCACAAGAACACTTTTTGTACTCTCTCAGCAGGATGAGAAGGTTAGATTAGTAGGCCACAAAGAGCTTGGGGCACACTGCTACCTTTAATGCCACAGTGGTCAGTCAGCCAGCCAGGGGTCTGCTCGCCCGCAGCGCCGTTCGCAGGTGAAGGGTGCTGGGAGAGACACATTAAAGGAGCTGTTACTAAATTCTCAAGGGAAAGCTTTGACCTGGAAAAAAAGTTTCCAAGCCTGTACCTCAATATGTGCAAACCTTCTTCATCCACCAACTTGTATCTCCAATGCCAGATTATTTTAGATCACAATGAGCGCACTGGAACACAATTTACATTATTATACATAGACAATGTCAATATGCAGTATGGCTTGCATATTGACTCTATCACATGTGCTGCTTATGCCTGAAACTAAAATGAATAAATTGTCAAACTCGAGCTCAGCCCTGTGGTTTCTAAACTTGCCTTAATCCATTTATCCTATTTCTGAAAGATTTTACCCCATATTACCCTTAAGAGGGAAATCATATGAAAAATGCCCATTCAGTCATTCTACTTGGGTCCCATTTTTGAGTCACTTCTGGATAAGGAACTTGATAATTGTATATTGTCAGATTTATTATTGCAGTAACATTTTTTTCCCCCCAGAGAACAATCATTATCAAGCATTCACTAACAGGAAATCCAAAACCTCCTTTAACATCAGCATTTCATCATTTGTATGTACATTTATGCATTTATGACAACTGCATGCATGTAGCAACCACTTTCAAATCTCCAAGTCCAAGTGTTATTTGAACAACCTTGCCGAGAGCCTCAAACTGAGAACTTAACACACAATTAGCATAGATAAATAAAACTAAACTCTGCGGGAGCACTATGATAGAGGTCATGCTCCTTTGCGACAGTGACATTGCCCGCACACTTTCCGCCGTAGTTAATTCCTCGCTAACAATGGCCGTTCTCCAGATCTGCGCCCTTCGAGCACCTTACAGTTCACTGTGCGCCATCGGGAAAAACATTAATTAAAATCCTGCTGCGGAGAGGATATGACACTACATAAGACAGTCAAAAGTAAAGCCCAGCTTGCATGGAATGAGTTTATTTCCACTCGGCTCGTTTCGTTTGAAGGATAATGCAAGACCGAAGCAGGAGCGAGAGGACCAGCGGGGGACAGGCTAAGTGTCGCTAATGAACCAAGCACGGATTCTATTTCCATATGTAATTTTTGGCCAAATTTTTGCCCTTCAATTGAATGCTTCAATTATTCAAATCATATTTAGGAAACAGCAATGTATTTAATGTTCATTAAAAAGATAGTGGCTGATTTTTTACCCTGTTACTTCACACTCTTGAGTCTGATAAATAAAGAGATAATTTGAACTTTTCCAGATCTTGAGTGTAGTAAACATTAGTTTAGCTGGAGGAGAATATCTGATCTTCTGAAAGAGTGAGAATATCGTTTTCATGAAGACATTGAAACAAAGTACCTGATTTTAAAATTATGGTAAAAGCAAGTTTGCATTATGGTTCATCTATGTAACTCTCGTTTCTCAGCAAGAAAGTCCTGGGTTTGAACCGTCTGGAACCGGGCCTTTTTGAGCGAAGTTTGCATGTTCTTCCAGTGTCTGGTTAGGTTTCCTCCAGGTGCTCGGGTTCCACTAGCACTAAAAAAAGAAATATCCTTCAGGTTAGGTCCAGGTATATATATATATATATATATATTTATACAGTGTATATATATCATCGACTCTCTGAACCTCGAACAGGCAACAAGGAAAGCGGCAACTGCCAAATACCTCCAGCGAGTAAGGCAGGTCCTATGAAGCCGGCTCAATGGCAAGAACAAGGCTCGGGCAATTAACAGCTACGCCCTGCCAGTGATCAGATACCCTGCAGGAATAATCAGGTGGCCAAAGGAAGAGATTCAGACCACGGATGTTAAAACTCGAAAGCTCCTCACCATGCATGACGGGTTCCATCCCAAATCCAGCACCCTGAGACTGTACGTAAGCCCTAAAGAAACATGCAAACTCCATAACTACATCATGGAGAAGGCCAAAACGGATAATATACTCAGTGAATGTCTCAGACAGTGGCGAGATGAGGAGGTGCTGGAGGAGAGCCCATCATGGGAGGACAAGCCCCTACACGGCATGTACCACCGGAGCGTAACAGAAGTGGCTGATCTCAAGAAGTCCTACCAATGGCTAGAAAGGGCTGGCCTACAGGACAGCACAGAGGCACTCATCATGGCTGCACAGGAACAGGCACTGAGCACCAGAGCGATAGAGGCCCAGATATACCACACCAGACAAGACCCAAGGTGTCGGTTGTGCAAAGAGGCACCTGAGACGATCCAACACATAACTGCAGGGTGCAAGATGCTGGCAGGGAAGGCCTACATGGAACGCCATAACCAAGTGGCTGGCATAGTATACAGAAACATCTGTGCAGAGTATGGGCTGGAACTCCAAGGTCTAAGTGGGAAACTCCTCCAAAGGTGGTAGAGAATGAGTGTGCGAAGATCCTGTGGAACTTCCAGATACAGACCGACCGAATGGTAATGGCGAACCAACCTGACATCGAGGTGGTAGACAAAGGGCAGAGGAAAGCTGTGGTGGTGGACGTGGCAATTCCAAGCGATGGCAACATCAGGAAAAAAGAACACGAAAAGCTTGAGAAATACCAAGGTCTCAGAGAGGAGCTGGAGAGGGTCTGGAGGGTAAAGGTGACAGTAGTGCCCGTGGTGATCGGCGCACTCGGGGCAGTGACCGCGAAGCTAGAAGAGTGGTTACAGCGGATCCCTGGAACAACCTCGGACATCTCGGTCCAGAAATGTGCAGTGCTAGGAACAGCAAAGATACTGCGCAGAACCCTCAAGCTCCCAGGCCTCTGGTAGAGGACCCGAGCTTAGAGAGGGATAACCGCCCGCAGAGGGCGAAAGTTGCGTGTGTTTTTTTTATTTATATGAATGTACATATGTATGTATAAAATCTATTTACAATCCTAAAATTCATTACAGTGGCCCCCGGGTTGTTAAATTTGTCTTTCTCTCCATCTCATAGATTTTCCTCTGGTCTGGGTTCTGGGGTTCAGCTTGTAGTATTTTTTCTTGCGTCTGTTAATTCCATTTTTAAACCATCTTTTGTTACAATTTCAAATCTCTTGGTGCTGAATATCTACAATTCATGCATTTGACTAAATAAACTAAAAATTATGAAAACGTCCCTTCACTCAAACCAATTGACAAACCACTTGGAACCTGTCTATTTTATTTTACTGAAAATACTCCAACTAATCAGTTAAGAGTGTCTTATTTGACACAACAGTCACAGCGTGTGTCCACCCATTCACTGCTTCTATACTAGCGCTAGTGTTCTGCCTAATACCCCTAGATTAGCGTCAAATCATTCCGCCCACCAGCCTTGTATCGGTCCATTTTGCCTGGAGCTATATATTGAAGCAGTGAATGGGGTTTGTTGGGGCATTGATTGACACAGAGAAATAGATTGAGTCCGCTTCCGTGCCTTGCTGTCTTTACTGCAGCTCACCTCGTCTATTCTTCCGCTTCGCCTTACGTTTCAATGAGTCGGACAGTTCTGGGCAATCCGACAAGCCCTATTGTGTGGCTGACAGTATGAATGGGTTGTGTGAAGAGACACATTTATATTATTTTGTGATGAAGAAAGTGTGTTGAAGGATTTTTTTTGCTTCTATCTGCTTGGCATTGCTCTTAACTACTGTATCGTCGGTGTATTGTTTGTTGTATGTGCTTTGTATTGTCTTCTGAGGATAAGTCCAAAAAGGTTCCTTTAGTTTTTCAAAGTATAGATATATATAGTCTGAAATACAAAAATAATACATAATAATTGGACTAAACATGGAGAGGCAGCGTTTCAGATTCATACAGCTAAGATCTGGAACAGTCTTCCTGAGAATGTGAGACAGGTGTCTACATTACATCCTGGCCTTTGCCAGTGCATACAACGTATGGACTGTATATTTACTCTTTTTAACGCACTGTGGTTTTTTATGGTTCTAATCCCTTGTGTACTCTTAATGTTTGTTTTTAATGCCCTGTGAGATTTTAATTTACATGTTTACTATTCCGTGTGATCTTATTGGTTGTTTTTTAATGCCCTGTGTGTTTTTAATGTGTGATAGGGGCTGTGAATCACTTTGTGTTACCTTGTGTAGGAAAAGCGCTCTACAAATAAAGGTTGATCAATTCTTTGTCCCAACTCTAAGAGTTTTATAAAATCTAAAATGTTGTGAACAATTTAAACCGCAACATATTAGATTAATGTTATTACATAGTTCCATTATTGGTGGTTTCAAAGTTAGTGACCATAGCTTTATTATAGTTATTATTATAATTTAAACAATCCATTTATCTTGTCTTATTAATTCATGTAATATTTTTTGTTAGCTCTTGAACCAACCAATCAAAAGCAATGAAACTAGTACTCACCATGTTTTGATTTTAGAACAACATAAATGAGCTAGATAAAGAACTTGTTACATATGGATACGATTCTTACAACCTTTACCTACACCATGCATTTTAGACGCCACTTTTTGTCCATGTGCTAGGCCCAGCACGTCCTGTTAGCCTGAGTGACTTTGGGTGGCACTGTGTTCCGCCCACTCTCCTCTCAGCTCCGTCTGTTCTTCTCCCTGTGCTCCGTATATTTGCTCTGCACTGCTGCAGAGCTGGAGGCAGCCACTCGCCTGGGCCCCTGGCTGCTGGCCCCTGGCTCCAGCTCTGCATTGGTCATGCTTTGCGTTCCAGCACTATGTTCAACAGACTGCAGCTCTGTGTGAGGAGTCAGGCCGCCACTGCTGAGCATGCTCCACAACGCTCACAAATGACATGAATTGTTCCCAATAGAAAATCAGCAAATAACTCTATGCATTACTTTTTTTATATTTCCACAACTAGGACGACAGTGGCTCAGTTGGTAGAGCATTGGCCTTTGAGCCTTAAGGTCATGCTGTCGTTATGTCCTTGGGCAAGACACTTAACCCCACTTTGCCTGAGCCCCCGCTTGAAGTTCAAGGCTGTGCTCTCTTTGACAGAGCAGCCATCCTTCTGAGGATCAGCGAGGGGCTGGTGCTCTGTGAATTGGGTGCCTCTCTGACTGCCACCCCCATCCCCCCATCGAGCAATGGACTAAGGAGATGAAAATATATGGATGAATGGATACTACAACTATTACTATTGCTGCTATTCCATCAGAGCTATGACCTTTGCAACTGTGATTGTTCTGCTGATAATACTAAGAATACTACCATCATCTATACTGCTGATACAACGACTATTCTATCTCTACTTATGCTTGTACATCAGCAAGTACTATAACTACTACTAACTGCAATGATTACTTTTTGTTTCTGTAAAACCTTAGCTGCTCTGATTGTGATGCAGCTACTGTTACTGATTCTTCTAATGATTGTTCCTTCGATTCATGGATTTGTTGTTTACAACATAGATATTGCATGGAGGACATTCTATACAATTAGATTAAGAAAGTGGATGTGTGTTGTGTTTTTGCTGGGTTTTCTAACTGCCCAGCACACGGCTTTAATAACTTATGACCGCAGCACACTGTTACACATTTCAAGTAGTCAAATGAGCGTGATAAACGAAGCAATGGCTCCCCTCTGGAAGAAAGCTGCCCTCTCTCAGGGCATGAACTGAGAGACTAAAGCTTCTCCCCCCAGGCCATACGCCTCATGGAAACGATGCAACCGTAGCTATTGATGTTATGTATTTATGTTGACCGCTCAAACCAAACTTAAGAGATGTATTAGTTCCTAGTTATTTTACATGTAGACTGCGTTGGTAATATTGGTAATATCGGTAATATTGTATGTGACAAATACCTCATCTATCTAGCTAAATATTTGTAATTTCCTGTTTTAGTTTTTGTAATTACTTCCCTGTTTGAGTTAACAGTTGATTGATTACTAAAATAGTTGTTGATTAGCGGTTATTATTATGTTTTCCTTGCTCTGACTGTTTCCAAAACTATGATTTGTCATTGCATGTCTTTATGGTGACTCTCCACTCTCCTCTTCTTCCCACATGGGTTCATTCACTATTCTTAGCACCCAAATCAGTCAGATAATTGTGACTTAATCTTATACAATTTGAAACTATTTGTTTTTTTTTCCAATTCAGAAAATAGCACATATAGAATAGCATGTACATTTTTCAAATGTATTACTATTGGCAAGATGAAGTGTGAATGATCGACTTTGCCTCTTGAATCTGAGTAGTTTCCATACAACTGCGCATCAGTTTACACATACAATCCAAAATCAATAGAAGTGAATGTAACTGGATGTAGGCAGCATTTTTCAGGGCTATTTGAGAGTGCCCTCCTTTGGGGCGATGCTCTAAGATTACACATCAATATGAACCAACGTGGGGATGATTCAACTAGATACAAACAAGATCAAAATATACCAGATTTTTCTTCTTTGATGGCACATTCTTGAATTATTTGATTACGCAAGTTAAGGCAGTGATTCCCCCCTAAACCTTTTCCCAAATCTCCAGGGATTACGCCCAATATTGAATATTGAGTGTGTTAGATGTAAATAAGTAAGTAAGTAATGTTTATTTATATTGCGTATTTTACACACCAAGGTCACCCAATGTTCAGAGTTAGGATTTTTTTCCATTCACTTTGCACATGATGATGGGAGAGAGACGGCGAACACACTGGGGCATCAAAGTCCCCAACCAACACCATCCATTCAATCTCTCATTACATTTAGACAAACGCAGACACAGGGAGAACATGCAAACTCCACACAGAAAGGCCGCCTTGGAAATCCATAATAAGTTAGTATTTTGAACGTTATGTAATATATACATTTTGTGCAAAGTGCAAGCTTGTTAGACTTTCCTTTGAGTAAAATAAAATCTGACATTCATAACATTAAATTGAGTGAAAAAATGATCTTTTATTGTTTTCATGCCATTGATCTAAGTAAGTAATATTTTCATTTTATTTCAAATACACAACATAAACACAAATAAACATAATACTTATGTTGCCTCAATTTAACGTTAAAAAACAGGCCCCATGTAATTCAAAAATTGTAAGTATTTTTTATTTATTTTTCTAAATATTTGGAATTACTTATGTATTACTTATGTGACACTGTTTACAACTTGGAGGAAGAATTTACTAAAGTTATGTTATTGTTTGTGGGGTATTGGAGTCAACATGGAAGTGTGGTGCAGCAGTAATGCCCCGTGCAAAGTGTCATGTGGAGGTAATGTAATGGACACCCATGCAGAGGATACAGCAGAGGATACAGGAGAGCCCAGCCGCGGTCACAGCAGACGAAATGCTGTCGTTTCCGTTTTGCGGTGCATAGAGCCAGTTAAGGGGTTTCTCCTGTGGTTTTCACACCGGATTGGCTTTCCTTTCACTATCACACCTTCTGCTAACTGTTAGCCTCATGGCGCGAGGGACCGAGAGGGAGAGATTTTCGCTTTGGAAACAGTATCTACAGTATTTAGTTGCAAAAAGTGGAAATGTTTTGTGTACATTGTAACGTAGTGTCTTAATTATTACTGTACAATCCAAAGTGGACTGTGGAATTTGACACCAAAACTGCTTGGGTTGTTTGAGTTATAATTGTTTTGCGTGCAAATACAATACAACTTCAAGATAGCCGTGCAAACTATTAGGTTATGTATTTAGGTTATGTATAGACTATATGTTGCATTCATGTTCTAGAAGTATATTTCAGCTGAAGGGCAGAAGCCAAATTGGTCAAAAGAAAACATTTGAAAGAAAACCTCATATTTTCCCAGATCATTATTTGATAGTGATTAGATTACCAAAGCCGCTATATTATTCTTATGTCTAAAAGTCCTTTCAACAAGCCAACATCCTTCATTTTTTTTTATATTGTCACGATTTCTAGACCTGGAACTTTGTGACAGCTCTTCTTTCATGTGGACTGAGAAATTAGCTCTAAGAGACTTTTGACACAACTTGGAATGTGGTGATGTCACATGAACTCAATCAATCAAAAACTAAGTGATTTTAGCAATAAACTACTTTTGATAGAATAGAATAAATAAAATTACCATATATTCCAGAGTTAAAATTGATGCGCAGCTTGAAAGCGTGTCTAGTGTTGACCTACGTACACTTGCACAGGTCTCATAACAATCCTCTTTGCTTTAGTTATAATTTGAATCCTGTTATAGTTGTGCATCAGTGCCACTAGAGGGCTTGTGGCTCTCCATGTCCTTCTCTCTGACGGGCACAAAGTTGAAGTGTGGGCTTTCGGAGGGGCTGTATGTCCTGTGAGTAACATGCTGTATTATCATAAGAGCAGTATAGAAGTTTAACACTCACCAAATGTTACTCTTTACCATCTATTGGGCCTGTGAATTTTGCAACCTCCTTCTATTGATTCTGCTGCTGCTACTACTGTTACTACTGCTGCCAAAGTTGGTATTCCCGCTATACTGCTAATATTACTAAAACTATACTAATACCACTATCACTTCCATTCACTGCTTCACTACAACTATCACTAACCCTACTACGCCCACTACTACTTCTACTCCAGCTGTCTATAGGCTCCAGACACATTACCACTGCATTGCTACCAGGGCTGAGTGAGGGTGGTCCTCTCTTTTTCACTTGTCTGTGAAAGACATTTCTAAAGATGTGTCAGAGGCCAAAAATATGCAGTGAAAATATGGTTAAAGTGGCAGAAATACATGGATTGTATTACGCAGTGAGGTATTCTAGCTTCACTTTTGTTGCACCCAGTATGTACAATAGTTTGCAAATCTTTGATCATTGTTATTTGGTCAACAGCTGTGATACATGCAAGTTTTTACAGTTATGTTGTACGAGACATCCTAGACCTAGATAGTGTAGGTGGGTGTTTGTGGTCTTGGAGACTAGGAGCGCCTTTCCCCCGTGCAGACAAGAGGGACGTCTGTCTGGTGGTGGAGTGGATGTCTATTATGTAGTGCTTATGTGATAGCAGAGATTAGCATTGTAATCCATTTAGCATAGATCAGCTAATCCATTTTATTACTGTTGAAAAGGAATCAGATAATATTGCGAGCACCAGGAGCTGCTTTCATGATTTTAAGATGATGAAACTTTGCAATTATTAACAATTACGCTAGTCATTATCATTTGTATTGTATGTGTTTGCTCAGGTTGCGCATCTGGGCTGTGCAGTTTTTTTTTTTCAACTTTTCAGCTTTAAGCCATTTTTCTTTCCTGACATTTATTTACCAGTTATTTAGTTTGACTTTTCCTCCATTGAAATATATATATATTTTCAGCATTTTAGATATTGTTTGATAACAACTTCAATATAAATGAAGCGACTTGTGCTTTGTTACTGTAAACATTTCCATATGGTGCAACATAGCAGCAAAACAGAAAAGGAAAAACTTTGAGCTTCTTTTGGCCTCAATAACAGCTAAATGATGTGATATTCATTGAGTTGTCACGACGACTGCCTATCCCACAGAGACTGTAGATACCAGGATGTATGCACGCTTCTCGTCCCACGCGGGCTCTTTGTTTTGTCCGGTCCCCGATCGAATGATAATATGCAGACGCTTCCCTGCACAAACTTATCGTCCCCAGTGACCACGGGACGCACTAAAACACAAGATGGGACTTCAGCCAAAGACAATCTCTCCTTTCCCCCATAATCAAAACTGTATCTACTATTCTTTCTGTGCAACGCAACACGGCTCAAATTAAGCCAATGTTCTCGTCGATGCGATAACCTTATACCTGTTCAATCTGGCCCGGCTTGCGGCCGCACTTTCTTTGTTCGGCAGCTAACTCCCGCTCCCCGTCTGCTTCTTTCTTTGCAACTGACCTCAGTGGATACAATTGTTCCCAGTGAAAGTTTATAAGGCCTTTCTTTCATGCGTACAGGGGGAATCCAAGAGGCCTTTGAGATGGAGGATCAGTGCGGCAAGCCAAGCAGCGGCAGCAGTAGGTTGAGAGGGAAAAGAAGAAAGCCAGAGAAAACAAAAAAGTCGAGAGAAAGAGCGAGAGGGGAGGGTGAGGTGAAGGATGAAGCCTGTTTTGTAAAATGTCATGTTGTGAAAGTGGATATCAGTTGGTGCGCCAGGGACTCAGCTGCCGTGCCCAGTCTACTCCGGTTTCCCTTTGAAAGAGATGGATTATAGTCATGTGTGTGGGGATCCGGTAATAGTGATGAATGGGGACTATGTTAAATTGGGAAATGTACAATGGAAAGATATTGGTTTTTGAGCAAAGTTTTGAAATGCATGCCGTTGGATGAATGGCTGGAGCAATTTTTATAGCATTACAAAGTACATCACTTTTAGGTTAGTTTTATTTCACCCTGACGTGTTAACTGAACCATCTGACTCAGATTATGTTATAGTTTGAAGTTAGGTTTGAACACAGAACGATGAATACAATTACAACTTCAGTTGTCTTCCTCTGGTTTAAGGTGAAGTGATTTAAACATTGTATTCAAAGTGAAAGCTTGTCTCAGATATGCAGGAAGATTGTTCCATTAGTAAGTTGTGTCAATACACATTTCTTGTCTCTTCTACAATTGAGTTCAAGTCTTATCTCTCCCCAATTCATTATTTTTTCAATAGATGTACCCCTGAGTAAGACACCCAGCATATACATATGTGTTGGTCAAAAGTCATTGTGGGCTTACTTGAACATGCCCATTTCAAAGCTAATAAACTGGACCTATTGTCTTGTATCCACACTACTGTGTCCTCAGCGCATTAATCTTGTTGCACATCTGTTGTCCACCAGCTGTTTCCTGTCTAATTATCCTATATTTGTGCTGTTACCTGTGGGCCCCTTAGAGCCGAGGAGCTCGAGATCCACCCATAGTCATCACAACTAACAAGAAGTGCTTCACACCTGTCCAACAGAGCAGCGTCTGCTGCAGGGGCGCAGAGGCTGCTGGGCTGGGCAGGTGTCAGCGCACCAGGGTTCAACACAGACACATGATTGAGAGATCATAAAAGTGCTATGGATTATGGATGGGGCAAGATCTTGTCATACAAAATATAATAACGTAAGAGCACCGTTATTAACCAAGATAAATGGTTCACCACTTTCGAGCCTGGAATACCTCATTCGGAAAACCCCCTAATTTACCCCCTAATAACTTTACTTAAATCTAAAATAATTTCATTGACCTAGAGACTTTGGTTTATTACACAAATTCATGTTCTTAGGATTAATGTGAAGAAGAGAATTACTAGTACTACTAATAGTACTACTTCACCATCTCAAGACTAGTTTTCATTCCTCGTTCCATAGTTTTAGTGGTAGGGGAAACTGGAACACCCTGAGGAAGCCTACACACGCGTGTGGAAAACATACGCCACACAGCCCTGGATTGGACATAAGTGGAATTCAGAACCCTGTCGCTGTTTGTAGAGCGCCCTTACCAATGGTTCAGTGTCGGTGTGATAGGACAGTCATTTTTTACACATTTTATGACTCTAAATGCCTTCAGTGTTACCGTGCCAGTTTTTGTTCTTATCTTTCCCACGCTGGCAAAAACTGCATTTCTGAAAGCTGTGAAAACATTTATAACTCATAGCAGTGAAAAATTAGAATGCCAGAAATGCACGAGAGGAAATCCAGTTATGCATTTTGCGCTTATAGCACTTATTTCTCACATTTGCTCATTCTCGAGTAGACTTCAGGATATTGTTCTGCTGACACTTCACAAAACAGCCCCTTTGACTCGGAACAGGTTGAAACAATAAGCCTATGCGATGTACATTAGCCTGTGAACGTCGGTGTAAACAGATGTCCCGTACAGCCCTGCACACGTTCATTACTCCCAGACAAGTGCGCGGGGGGCTAATGCGACTTATTCTGCTGAGTAAACACTCCTGGAGGCTCCACCGTAGCACCTCTCCCACGGATGGTAATGACTGTGATCTGCAGTGAGCACTACGGCACAGGGGCACAGCTTTCACCCTCACTACAGCAAGTAACAGCAATCAGATTGCTGTATAATTAACGTTTGGCTCCCGAAAGAGGATTCAAACTGTCTGAAAGGAGATTGCACATTCTACACATCTCACACTGGGCTTGCGAGTTCAGTCATTGCGTCAGTCGATTGTACTACCGTGATTATGAAGTTTTGCCAATGGTCGCATTAGCTGCATCTAACCCATTGCCTTTTTAAATGAGAGAAATAATAGCTGTGGTTCTGTACTTTTTGTCAGTCCTGAAACTTGGACAATGCTACAAACTTGAATCACTTCAACAATGCAGATATTTCTGACCAAATTGTGAGAATAGATTGATATGGAATGGATGGGTGTTAAATGTCCTGTATGTCCTGTATGTCCTGTAATGCAAATATCTATTAATAGACCTCAGACTATTTCCATCTCCTTAGTGGTGGCATGATTGACTAATATAATGACAAAAAATAGTTTTTTGTGTGAACTCTAGCTTGTATATGAGCTGGCTTTTATAAAGCTCATATACAACATTTTTTGTTTTTTTACATTTTTGTAGCCTCTGTCACATGCTTTTCCAGAGAGAAAAGTAAAAAAGAATGAACCACTCTTGTTCAGCCAATAAGCTCTCAACCCAAAGCCTCAAATAGTGACTCACAAGGCTTCTTTTGTGTCGTACCATTAGTAGCCCACACATAGAAAATAAGGCAAGGCAAGGCAAGTTTATTTATATAGCACAATTCATATACAAGGCCATTCAAAGTGCTGAACAAAATAAGAAAGCATTAAAATCATTAAGTAAATAATATTGTGTGACGTTGGAATTATAACCAATTCAAGTGTTAGAAGTGTTTAAGATATTTTCAGATGTTGCCGATTTCACTCTCAAAATTGATGGATATTTATTTGTAAATGTCTTTTTTTTTTGCGACAAACATGTGGAAAAAAGAGACAAACCATGCTTAATGAAGTCCCACTGATAACGACCTCTGCATCATGAGTCCTTATTGCAGTCAGCTAATGTCAATCTTGTGCCTTCCAGATCCGAGTGGACGACTCTTCTCGAGCGCTTCAGTATGAGACAGTCCAAGCTGTGACCAGTGGACCCATCCTCAGAGACATGGCCTTCTCCTCTGACCACCACCACCTCTACGTCATGTCCGAATCACAGGTTTGTCTCACCGCACCCTGCTGCTGACCCACACACTCATGACTAACTTTATATATTGGCTAACAAATACTTTATAAATAATTTCTGTGCTGAAATGAGTATTGACAGTATCATTTTCAGTACATAATTAGCTCATCACATATTCTTGTTTTCTGTTTAAAAGCCCCACTAACCGATCTAATCTGATTCATAAATAAAATATACAGTTTTTGGGGACATTTTACAAAAAAATTCAGCAACTGTGTGGATTTGAATTCCATATATTTAATACATTTTGAAGACTGTATATTAACTCTATATATATATATATATATATATATATATATATATATATATATAAACTTTGCTACATTTGTACAGTCAAAATTTATGTCACTTTTATTCTATTTTAGCTATTATTTGTGGCATAAAATCAAACCGTATGTAATTTTGTTAATTCAATTCTCAGAGGACCATACATTTACAGGTAAGGCAATGGATGCATCATTACTGTATGTTACTTGCTTTCATTGCTTCCAATCCTATGAATAATGTATTGTCTCTCTTTTACAGTAAATAGTCATGAGCAATTCCAATTTAGCCAGAACTGAGAACAGACACATTGATTCATAGGGGTTTGCTGTTCAATACTACATGGAGGCACTGATTATAATAGTACACATGTTGGATTGTATGGGTCGAAAGTGGACAGAGGAGGTCCTTTTGTGTGCCATTCTGCTTCTCTTATGCCTTTGATGACACGGAATGTGGTACAAAATAGCAGTACTCTGGGTAATGGACACAAACCCTGTTGAAATCGCAGAGACCAAAGACCCTACAGCACCCTGGCTGGATTCACACAAGTATACACGCTAATAAACTGTATGACTCAGCATGGATCTGCTTGTCCAATATGTAGACGTGGCAAGGCATGGCAAGTTTATTTGTATAGCACTATTCATACACAAGGCAACTCAAAGTGCTGAACTTGTGCATACGCAGAGCTGTTTAAAGTCTATTCTCTGAGCCACAGGAAGTCAGGGCAGACACCTGAGGACTGGACTAATGTGGTCGTACTTCCTGTCTCTAGTAAGGACTCGACATTCTTTAGTTAATGCTTTACTACGATTATAATGATGATAATTGGGGTACATATTTTTATTTTTTTTCTAGCTTTGCGTATAAATCAAAGTCCTAATTGTATCACTTGGGCGTGTGAAAAGTGCACTTTGAAAGCACTACATCTGCACATACAGTAGTTGAACTCGCATTGCTATAAATATGAAATGGTACAAACAACTCTTTTTCTATTGCAACCAATTACAATGTTTCTACGGCAATGCGTCAAAAGTAGTTAATAGCCCGATTCGAAAGCTGTTTTTTCTCTGCTCCACTCCCGCGGCCCTCCGTCTGTGCTTACAGGCAGCCGAGATACGGAATAACAAATGAATTATTAAGACTAGCTAATTTCCATTTTACCCATTATGTAGGATTCCTTTGTGTTTTGCCATTAAGTCTCTGATTGTAGTTGCGGTGTTAGCGCTTTTATTTTCCATACCAATTAGCTTGCGTTATTAATGAGCAAGCAAGTTTCCAAAAGCGCTTCAAATGTTGTAATTACTCTATTAGCCGACTTTGAATGACCTCCTCAAATTATTTCGTGTAACAGCAGGGGCTTCCCACATAAGACCAGCAGATAGATATGGCAAAACACTGCAAAAGGATCCCACATGATACATTTCAAAGCATATGAAACTCAATTTTTGACATGATTATAGATTTAGGCATCACAAATCCATTCTGTTTGTAATAGGATTTGCAAATGAAATACAAAATACTTCTTGTTAGGTCCTGATCTCTATTTCGGCTTAGTCCAGGCTTTGGTCCAAGGTTGGGTTTGATGTACTTTTTTGGGAACAATGCCATGAACTAACTACAACATAAATTAATAACATTTTATTACGGACACATTCATACTTGCAAGTATTATTCATTCTTGGACACAGTAGCACCAACATTAAAAGACAATATTACTAATTCAAACTTTGCTTTACTTAAGATTACACTGCAAAGTATAAGGTTAACGTGAGTTAGACTTTTTACTGGCAGCTTTGTAAATGTTGAAAAATACACAACCTTTTGCTGCTTCCTCTCTCTCAGGGAGGGCTTTGTAACAGCCACAAAAGCCCATACTTTGTGCCCAAGGACTATATCAGACCTGGTGCAAAGGAAATTATACATGTCTATAAAATCACATTGAAAACCTTTATTACAACACATTCTTGTCTGATTTTCTTTAGATCCAAAGTGCTGCAGGACTTTAATGATTGAATTTGACTTCATTACTTTTTTGATTTTTTGATATAAAAGAAAGCTTGGACATTTGAAAAATCCTTCTGGAAAGATACAATTTCATATCTAGGGCCAGTTTGATCTCCAAATTCACATTTGCACACACACACACACGGACAAAAGTGTATTTTACTCTTTTGGGACCTTTTTACGTCATTACAGTTCCCTAAATATAATGTTCCTCAGCTGTGAAAGGCAATGTTTCGAACCCAAAGGTTGAACCGTGTTTTAGAACCAAAAATTTAATTCAACCCCGACCAAAATGAGTATGACACGCCTGCTCTAAAGGCTCCTAAAACAGATTTCTTCTGCATTACAAAGAAAGACGGAGGTATAAGAAGTCATGTGTCAGATAGCCACTCATTAATCCAGTGATTGTTTTTCATCTAATTGGATTTTTCTCGGCCTCTCACATCCTCGCACGCACTGACTCTATTCATACATGTTCGCCCACATGTAACGCTCCTTATTAGTGGCTTACATACGTGTGCTCTTATATGAACAGCCAGGTCACATATCAACCGTAGACTGAACGCCTGACAGTGACAGAAAAAATATCCCTTTGTTAATAAGCCCTTGTTAAATCACACACGACTCGTAAGGGCTCTTGGGTCATTGTAGAGACACAGAATACACGACAATAATGACAAGAGCAGACACCCACTGACAAAAAAACAACATAATTGGATTTGGCTTTAAAAATACCATGTTGCTTGAAATCTGTGGTGAAACAATATTCTGATTAATCATGACTTGTACAGACTGCAGATATGATATTTTTATTTCTTTATTTGACGTAGATGAGAAGAGAAGCCGCTGGATGACATTCTAATAGATTTTTTGTCAAGACTAAACTGATTTTTTTCATATGCATTCAATAGTTTTTGTAAATACTCTCCTGTTTCGGTCTTAAACCCACGGCTCTATGCGTACACATGTATTTGAGCCTGTATACCGTTACAATACATTATATTGTTTATTGTATATTTTAATCTAATCAATTATTTTTTATATCAGCCCCTAGAAAAGCTTTAGACTTATTGCCATAACTATATCTATGATTAAATTCTTATGTTTCAAACCATGACAACTCTTTAAACTATGATGTCATGGGCATAGCCAGCTTTGGTTTGGTCTAAATCTACCTGAATGTATTTTCCACCACTCTTCCACGAGATGGAAGTTACTCTAGAAACCTCTTTTTCTTTACAATTTTCTACCTAAATAATTATTCATCCACACTAATATCAGGAAGTACTGGCACAAACATGTTACCCCGCCCCATCTGTCTAAAACCTGTTGTCTCAGTCCTGCCATAGTATGATATCATTTAACCACTATGACGTCACTCTAAAAGTTGTTGTTGTATAGTTTTGTTTAAAAAAAAAAAAAAACTCTAGGCCATGAAGTTGTTTTGGCCATTACTCAAGTGAAATTACAGTCTTAATACTCAGTGGTTGCAGACAGTAAATTTCAAATTTGACAAACACAAAACAAGTTTCAAGTGACAGTATACGTTTACTACGCATTGGCCTTTGGGCCTGAATGTCGTGGGTTCAAGCCCACCGTAAGACCCACTTCACGACTCCCACTGATGACTGCTGTCGTTGTGTCCTTGGGCAAGACACTTAACCCTACTTTGCCCAAAGCCCCAACTGAAAGAACTCAGCTCCTGTGGACTCACCACCTGCAGGAGGATCAGTGAGGGGCTGGTGCTCTGTGTACTGGGTGCAGCTCTGACTGCCACCCCCCCGACCCAGAAATGGATTAAGGGGAAGAAAATGGATGGAGTATACGTTTAGGGCATAGGAATAGTCATTATTATCAAGCACACTTGAATATTTTCTCAGATTTTTTCTACTCAACATATAATTTCACATTATATGTAAATTGTCTCATTATTATTTTAACAACTACTAATTTAAGCTTGCTATATCTTTCCAGTAAAGGTCAACTAGGGTCTATTTGCCAGTTCACTTTCCTGCCTTATAATATCTGGGCTAGATTGCAGTTTGAGTTAAGTTTATTTGGATAATCAGTGGATTGGTTTGTGGTCTGGCTGTAAAATGAACTCTTCTTAGATCCCTTGCGTGTTCCCATGTTCAACAAACAGACTACACCCTCAAGTGGTGTAAAATGTTTTGACAGCTACACCCACTCCTTACATTATTCATAACTGGCAGAGCAAATGCAGATCTGTACATGTGAATTATTGAGCAACGTGTGTACTGTACCCCAATCGTTCAAAGTCAAAATGCTCTTTTTATTTCCACACACACATTTCCAACGCACACCAATATTTGGAAGTATCTCTTAGAAGATGTTTAATCTGCGTTTAATTTGAAGTCAGCCGAGAAAGCTTGCCGCATTTTCCTTGCAGCGCGGAGCCGTCACCTCTTTAGCGTGCCGTAGGTGGTTGCAAAGGCGTTTAGATGTGCATATTATGTCGCGTCCCAGTTTTGGCTCGCGGGCTGCCGGAGTTGAACAAGGCAGGTGAGCGCGGCTGATAGGGGCACGTCTGACATACTTGTGAGAAATGTCAGCAGAGGAGGTTCGGAGTGTGCCGGCTTTGAACTATTATCTGTTCTCTCTCGCTTTCGTACTTCCACCATGTTCAGTTTGAAGTCTTCGTGCAGGGTTGTCCTGGTTGCACATACAGGAGGATTTGT